GAAGGTTTGAAGAAGTCTTGGTCGGTGCAGTGGCAGACAGGAGAGATTCTACCACCAGTTCTTCACCTCGTATGAACGATCAGCCACCAATACTGTCTATCCTCCCTTCAAGCTGCGTGAGTTTGGCTGCTCATGATCAGTTCCTCCAAGATTTTGGCAAAAAGAAGAAGGCCGTTGATCGAGAAACCGCTGGAGATTTCCTTGGTACTCCCAAGCCGGCGCTGGGTCGCTTCCAACGAGGAGACCGAGGTCCTGGCTTCTTCTGGTGCTCTCTTTTCCAAGGAGATCGCTTAGGTGTTGAGATTGCCTGCTGTGCCCATGCAAAGATGCTTGAGGAGGCAGGATGTCATGCTGATGAGAACCGACTTGTGCAAGCCAATCTATACTACACAATTCCCCAGTGACAGGATTGGTGATCGATGACTTCTTTTGCATTTCAGCAGAGAAGATTGCCCAAGCAAGAGGAGATGAGTATCCCGAAACTTTCTGCAGGCAGCAAAGACAGCCTATGCCCAGGAGGACATTTTTGGCTCTGATGATTAAGGAGGTGGCAGATTCTCTTCACTTCAAAGTCATTGGAGCTGAGATCAACTCAAAGGAGTCTCAGGCAAAGAAAGTGATTATTTCGCTTGGAGCACCAGCTGTCAAGCGTTTTGGGCTGATGATGTTGAGTGCCCGTGCTGCAAGACTTCCTTACACTTCCGATGCTCTCCATGCCTCGCTGTTGGGCTCATGGATCTCTGCGTTGATGTGTAGACGGCCTATGATGGCTCATGTGAACCACCTCTTCCATGTCATCGACGCCAAGCAACTATCGCCAAGCGACTCAAAGATGAGACCACTGCAGAGGAACGCAGCTGAGGAGCCTCTCATCTTGGCCTGTCTTGGGCCCCTTGCAGCATCAAATGTGTCAGTGCCCTTCTCAACAGTGTTGTATGCCTCGGATGCATCAACCTTAAAAGGAGGCCTAGTCTCAGCTGACATCAGTGAGGAGCTATCAAGGTCCCTGCGGAGGATTTCAACAAAGAAGGCCAAAAACCCAGGGGGCTTCAGAGCAGAACAGCTGCATCGCACCCATGACCAAGACTTTGAGGAGGTCCTGATGATGCCCTATGCGATGAGCAGCAGCAAGAGGAGCCGGGCAGGCCTTTTGGTCTGAATCTTGGTTTCATTGAGATCTGTCGAGGAGCCGGTATTGTCACAAAAGAGCTGACCAAGTTAGGAGTTGTCTGTGGGCCAGTGCTTGACATCAGCTACTGGATGAGGTACGATGTATAGGACAAGCGTGTGTTCTCCTGGCTGGCCTCCATGTGCAAAGAGGATCGGCTTCAATCATTTCTTGCGGCCCCTCCTTGCACCACGTTCAGTCCGGCTGCTTTCCATGCCTCAGGACCTACAAATGCCCTCTTGCTCTAGATCCATCCCATCCTCAAGTGGTCCACGGGAATAAGATGGCGTTTTCATGCATGGGGCTCCTCATGGTCGGAAAGAGGACTTCTACGCCGGGTATGATGGAGACACGAAGGAGATCGAAGTTGAGGTGGACTCCCCAATGGAGAAGGATGAGGGCTCCACAGCAGAAAGAATTTGCCCTGATGACTGTCTGCATGAGTGCCCAGTCTTTGGGCAGGAAGTGCTCTCGCAACCACAGCCATGTGCAGATCCAAGGCAAGTACACGAAGCCTACCGCCACCTACTGCCAAGGCCTAGTAGCTGCCATAGCAAGAGTTTTTTGCAAGGCACATTGAGGCTCGCTTTGAGGAGATTGCTGGCAATGAGTTCAGAGACACTGAATTGCCTGAACCTCATGGTCTGTCAGCAGCCGAGCTCCGATGGGTGGCACCAATGAATGGACTTAGGAGGTGGTCCGCAAATTGGCTTCGTCTCAGCCTGTTGGTATGCCCCTCATGGGTTGTCTTCTTCACAGACCGATCATGCTTCCGACGCTATGGGCAGAATCATTCCTCTGATCCTTTCTGTCCCTTGGATTTTGATGCTTCTCTTGGATTTCCGGGGGAGGGTCCCAGGTCCCACTGGTGGTTTGGATTTTTCTCATTGCTAGCCTCGATAGGACATGTTGGGGCGACCGGCGCGAGCCATGGCGATGAGTTGAGACGCAAGCAGCGTGAAGGCCTGGAGTTGCCTGACGGGCGGAGAGTGACGGATCTCACCCTGTCCATCCGAGGACAGCTGGCTGCAGCGTTCAATGGGTGGCTAAGGCGGCTAAGGAATGAAGGGATGTCTTTTGAGAACCTAGCAAACCCGCCTGACCTGGACAAGGTGAAACAGTGTTTTGACCAGGCATGGGAGGCATCTTTTTGTATCAGGAAAGCCCTATTACCATCTGTCAGAGACACTGAATCTAGTCAGTGCCCGGCGGCCTTTGTTGCGCAGATCCCTACAACAGATTTGGGATCTTTGTGCGATGTGGACTTCATTTGAGCCTGTTGAACACCACAGAGCCATGCCGGTCCAAGTGCTGCTTGCAGTTCTGGCCACTTGTTTGGTCTGGGGCTGGACGGCAATTTTGCCATGTGCTGGGGAATGTTGCCGAGAAGTGGTGAGCTGCTTAGCGCTTATCGGAGGGACGTCGTCTTTCCTGATCAAGATCATGGAGCCGAAGACGCGCTTTCGCGCAGCTCGTCGCCAATCGAGTAAATTAGAACCTCCAGACCTCATACAAGTTGCATGGATGGGGATTGGCAAATTGATGCCGCGCGAACGAATCTGGCCTAGTTCACCATCCACTCTGAGGCATCGCTTGGACAAAGTGCTGTCCAAGCTAGGCCTGCCAACCAAGATGGTGAACAAACAGAAACCTCTTACCCTTGCATCCTTCAGACCTGGAGGGGCAATTTACTTGATAGGCCTCACGGAATCATCGGAGCTGGTCCGGCGAAGGGGACGCTGGATTTCATTGAAAGTTATGGACATCTACTTGCAGGAGGTGGCTGCGAGTACTTTCATGAGGGAAGATGGGAGCCAAAAAAGCTGACTCCATTTCACACGATGGCAGAAACTGCTGGCAGCTAGAAAAGAGGGCACGAGCTTTCTTGAATGTGTAAGAGAGCAACAAACCGCTTTCGCCGCTGCTCAAGCCTCCCACCGGCCGCCCCTAGCTCCACCTTTCCCAGTCTGTTGCCTTTGCAAGTTTTTGTTCTGTGGAGGTTCCAGATCCAGCCAAAAAGGCTGACTCCACTTCACACGATAGCAGAAACTGCTGGCGGCTAGAAAAGAGGGCACGAGCTTTCTTATCACGAAAGCTAGC